TAAAAATAATTAAAAAAAGAGAGGCTATGGTGCCCAACCCATGAATCCTCCTCTAAACCCCCAATACACTGTATCTATCACCAAGGCGGAAGAGAGGAGTGGGTGAGAACACTGAATCATGGTCCTTGCTCTGTCTCACAAAGCTGTATAGACCTCTAGCTGGGCTGCTACTCCTCGCCCATGAAATGAGCTATAATCCCAGCCCCCTCAAGGTGGTGACAAGGATCAGAGGAGGGGCCCCTAGCAAAGTGCTGAGCAAACAACACTGTCATTAACTACAGTTAAACACAGAGGTGTGCAAGGTGCATACCTATCAGAGGAAGAAAACACAGATATTTCCCACTAAATGTGCTAGCAAAGTGGCCGTCGCACTGTTGAAAGAGCAGGACCTGGGAGACCAGTAAAACAGGGCAGCCCTGTTGATTTCTGGCTCTCACAGGTTTCAGTGTATTACAGCTGTTATTAGAGCTGTTAATACCCTGCTTTATGTTTAAGGTCAGACTGAGGTGGAAATCAGCAGAGGCTGGGCTGGAGGAGCATCAGGGCAGATACTAGCAGGATAGAACTGGAAGGCGCTCATGCTGGCAGTCAATGGAGGCCAGGGTCAAGTGAAGTGGTTAGGATTGGACCCCACCCAGTCGGAACCAGGGACACTGGACCTAGGTGTCTGGTTTTACACCTGAGTGATGTCAAGAACAAGGGACTGGAACCGCCCACCACACCATCTCATTCACCCAAGTCTGGAAGCACGTCTAACTGCACAGCCAGCATCTTTGTGAAGCTACCCTGTGATGTGGTATCTCCACCACTCTCTCAGGGGCAATGCTGCTTTTCACCCCATGGGGAAAACCTTTTCTTATAAGACTTCCTTTTCTTTCATTTTCATCCCTTCTCCTTGCCTTTCCTCCTAAGTGTGTATTCTAACAAAGGTTTGGTCCACGCCAGGTTATTTCCAAGCAGTACAACTACAGTAAAACCAGAAGATTTGTCCATGGCTGATCTTTCTGTTGTTTCTCACCCAGTTCAGTTCTCCATCCAGGTGAGGGAGGCCGAACCAGTGCACTGTTATGACCAGGTTGTAACTCTCTTTGTGGGCTCCTCCAGAACAAAAACAAAGTCTCACTGCTTTGTGTTCTGAGCACTGAATCCTGCACTAAAGAAATGCTAATAAATGCTTTTACAGATGGGTGTATCCGTAAGATTAGATGTGAAAGTCTGAGAGGGTGTGTGTCTGCTTTACAAAGAACCAACACTCATGCAGAAGGACAGACCCTCCTGCAAAGGACACCCCTCAAACACACAGTCTTGGTTTGTGAGCATCCAGGAGCTTGCTGGCCCTGAAATAGAGAGGGAGTAAGCTCACATCTAAGGGCCAATCCTGATAGAAGCCCCTTGGTGGTGCAAATGGTTAATGCCCTCTGCTGTTAAACGCAAGGTGCGCAGTTCAAGGTCAGCCAGGCATGCTGGAAGAAATACTGAGCAATCTACTTCCAAAAAAATAAGTTACTGAAAACCCTGTGAACCCTAGTACACACACGAGGCTGCAAGTAGCCAGAGCCAACAGGACAATTGGTTTGCTTTTCTTTCTTTCCCCCCTATAATCTTTTCTCTCCCTCCTCAAACCAGAGGGGAAAAGATGAATATTCACTCCTTATTTTTAATTTTTGCATTGCTGTAAAGACCAAGTAATCTGTGAAGAGACAGACTACTGATAATGTTACATTTTGTTTTTGTTTTTGTTTTTTTTTATTTCAATAAGGGGCTACAGAAGTCCACTGGAGTTACATATAAAAGCTTAAATGTATGTGCCTATTTCTGTATATAGAGATCAGAGTTCTACCAGATTCTTTAAGGGGTCTGTCACCCAAGGTGGTTAGGAAACTAAAGAAGAAAAACTCTGACCCTAATTAAAGGATTTTGGGAAAAAAAAGACAAGACATAGCATATGTTATTCTAGAGTTTTCTACCTTAAAGTTTTGCCCCTTCGGTTCTCCTGCCTCCCCATACCTTGCAGATAACGTCAGGCAGGACTCAGAAGTCTCGATCCTTAGAGCGTAGGGCACTTTTTCCATCACAGGGCGGCTGACCTGGAAAGCCAACAGGAGCCCAGTCAGGATGAGAGGAAGGGGTGGCCACAGACGGTTCTCTCGCAGCCACTTCCCCTCTCTGAGTGGAATTTCCTCCTTTGTAAAGGGCAAACCTTTCTCTGATGCAGATGTAGGTGGGTTCTGGCGGACCACAACAACGTGGCCTGGTCAACCTGCATCATTACCCCAGGGAGATCCCCGAGGGGTTATCATCAGGACCCAGCTTCAGCAGCCTCTGGGCACACAGGCATGTGACCACTCAAAAGTCCCTGTCTCCATGGCCTTCTTTAAAAAAAGGCTCCTTAGTGGAAGCTTTTTGTTAAAGAACGGAGCCTCCCTGCTAACTAAGATGATTCGTCCTTTCCCTTGTCTTCGGAAAGGGGCCTACGAGTCCCTGAAATGACAACTCTCCAATCCCTTCCCCCACCTCAGAATTCTCCTCCGAACCTGTTCCCACCCAGTGTGGATCGCCCATCGCACAAGGAAATACCGTGTCACCCTGCCTAGGATGTCTATTATCAGAAAAACAGAAGACAAATATTGGTGATTTGGAGAAAATGGCATTGCCACTTCTATCTATTGCCAGAAATTGGGATTGGCTTGAGGAGGCCTGGAGTATAGCATCCACTGCCAGCAGGAATGTAAAATGGACAGCCGCTGCACTTTCTCAAATAGTTAAATTAAAAAAAAACTACCACATTTAAAATTAAAAACAACAAAAACTACCCCATGATCCAGCAGCTTCATCCCTAGGTACACATCTAAGAGACTGAAAACTGAAGGCCTTAAGGATGTGCTCAACAGTGTTCACAGCAGCACTATTCAGAGTAGTCAAAAGTTGGGAACAACAAGTACATCAATAGATGAATGGATAAGCAAACTGTGGTACAGGCAGGACACGATGGAATACTACTCAGTCATAAAGAAAAATGAAGGCCTGAGACAAACAACAGCATGGATGGACCTTGAAAATACGATGTTAAGTGAACCAAGTTAGTCACAAAAAGGCATACATTGCGTGATTCCACGATACAAAATATCTAGACAGATAAATTCACAGTGATGGAAGTAGATTATAAGTCACCAGAGGCTACAAGTAAGAGGAATTGGCCTCTGATGCATAATTGGTACAGAGGATTTGCTCAGGGTGATGAAACATTTTGGAAATAGACGATGGTGAAGACTTTACAACCCTGTGGATATAATTACTTACTGCCACTAAATTATACATTTTAAATGGTAGGTATCACGTAATTCATTTTACCACAACTGTTTGTGTGAGGTTTTTCTTAAGTTACAAAGCATCCCCATTAGCTCCCACCCATCCTTGTTTCTGGAACCAAGCTGCTCTGAGCCCGACAAGACTAGGCCCCCTCCTGTGTCTTTGGCCTCACCCAGGAAATTTTCAATCTTGTACATTTATTTGTTTAGGAAATACCGACCAAACCCCTACTTGTTTCCTACCTGCATGCCTTTTCTCAGACATTATCCTCTTCCCAGAATACCCTTGTTCTCCGTTTGCTCTAATATCATCCCCTCTAATGAATTAAGCATCTCTTCCCCAGGAAGTCCACCTTCACCTGTCCTTGGACTGCAGCCCACAATTTCCCATCACTTCCTCAGGGCCTCTGTCTTCAGTTGATCTGTGTGCTCCCAGAGGTTGGACACCGTTCCCTCCTCCCCTGGAATATCCTCTTCCACAGAGTGTCATCCTCCCCAAGGCTATCACCCAGTCCTGCCCTGGGACGCCCAGCACTGGGCACTACCTTCATGCTGGTCACGGCCAACGTGCTCTTCAGCCGGTACTTGCCATCCTTCTGGGGGTAGGTGTAGAGAAGCACATCACTCATCTAGGGAGAAGCAAAACCCGGTCAGACAGCGCTTGGCCCACAAAGCTGTACTGGGTTTCTGTACATGGGAAAGTTACTGAGCCTTAAGATGTATTTCCTGGCAAGTCCCAAAAAGTAATAGGCAAACAATATGAACATGAGCTGGTGGACTGGACTGCAAGAGTCTCAGAGGCTCTGCTTTTACAATGGTGGCTACCCTGCGAGGTACAGCACTCTGTGTTGAAACATCCTAGGAATAAATGGTATAACTAACAGTGTCATGGAAAGAGTGTTCTTAGCAGCTTGTAATAGGAAACAATCCATATGTCTAGCCCGAGTGTATGGACAGCCAAGGACAATGGAGTATTAGCTCAACCATCAAAAGGAATGGATTGCATACATGAGCAGTGTCCCCCTTAGAAGAGACTTTCTGCTTGGCTCAGAGATGTAAAGACTGGAACTTGCTGTCACCTCTGGGCCTCTACAAGGCTGTCTCCCTCAGACCAGTCCTTTCCCCACTGTGAGCCTCAGTGTCCTCACCTGAGAAATGGGCAGCATCACTGTTCTTACTTGAAGACAGATGCCAAGAGAGCACCTGGCACCCAGTAAGCCCCTTGAGCACAGCAGCCCACCTCAGCCAGGCCTGAGGGGAGGATGGGGCAGGCCTGTGCACTTGTGTGTGACCTACAGCCAGAACTCAGGACTGACCAGCTCCCTCTGCCTGTCCTCCCAGCAGAGTGCTACAGGGCCTGAGGCAGAGTCCTCTGAGCGCCAGCTCCTCAGTCATAAGCAGTGTGTGTGTGTGTGTGTGTGTGTGTGTGTGTGTGTGTGTGTGGTGACACAATACTTGGGCTCTGGTCTGGCCTAGATGTTCATCTGTCACATGGCCGCAGGCAGTCCAATCTTCCCTCTGGGATGTGCTCTCCCTAATGGAGCTGGATTAGATCAAGGATAAGCACAGTTCTCCTGTAAAGGGTCAGAGAGCAAATCCTCCAGGCTTTGTGGCTTTGTGATCCATTTGGTGCCTGCTGCAGGGCTCAATTTTGCCACTGGACCAGAGGAATAGCCACAGGCAGTATGCAAACCAGAAGTCACGGCTGGACCTGGGGCCTCTTAAAACTCCCACTCAAAATGACACCAGTTACACTATTTGGACACGTATGCAACACCAGACACAGGGCTCAGCATCTGACATGAAAGATTTCAATGAATTCCCCCAACAATCTTATTAGGAGGGCACTATAGCTTCCATGCCCCCTTCACAGAAGGTACAGGGACAGAGACTCTAGGCAACTTGTGCCATATCACAGAACTGGTAGGTCATGGAGCCATGATTCTGAGTGGGTGTCTCGTGTGTGTGTGTGTGTGTGTGTGTGTGTGTGTGTGTGTGTTAAGAGTAGTTGTCCTGCAGTGGATCCTGCCCCCAACAGTGGATCCTGGCCAGACCCTACTCCTGAGTCCCTCCCATGCTGGAAAACTGGCTGTATCATTCACCAGTACAGTCCCAGCCTTTACGTAACTTCCCTGGAGCACTTGCTGCCATGGCAACCACCATCAGTACACAGAGGTTTTATCAGTGGTAAAGGACTGCCCCCGCCCCCAACTGAAGGCTGGTAGTGGTCCTTCCGCCCACTCCGAAGTACATGGTGTACATCCCATCTTAGACAAAGAGGAAGAATTTTCATGTAGGGGTAAGGTGGTGGGCTTCTGACAATCATGAGCTACCATAGGGAGCCCGCCTGCCAGCTCTGGGTGGAGGGGAGCTGGGGGCACAGTGTTTCCACGGCATCACTGAGAGCCCAGTGCATTGTGGGTGCTGTATATCCTGACTTTGTTCTGTTAACCAAAGCCATTTGATGAAACTGGCACCTTAGGAAGACCAAAGATTCTTCCTTAAATGTGTCCTTTATGGTGCTTTCTAGTCCTAGGATCTAACTGTTTCTCCACTCAGTATTTAAAAACCCTATTCCTAGGGAGCTCTGGTGGCTCAGCAGTAAGGTACTGTGCTGCCAACCCAAAGGCATGTGTTTCGAATCCACCAGCTACTCCACGGGAGAAAGAGGAACAATCTCTTCTCATACGATTTACTGGTTCTAAAGACCTGCTAGAGGATCAGCTATGGGTCGGTGGTTCTCGACAGTACAATAACAACAACAACAATTCCTGGGAAGGAAGCTCTAGTGGTGGAGTCTACAGAGGGAACTGGAGAGAGCTAGGCTGTCGTCGTCCAGCATGGAGGGCAGTATTGGCACTGGGGGCAGTGGCAAGGGAAAGGCAGGTAGGCTGCATGCACGAGGCGACATCTGGGCATCTCAGAGCAGCTGGGACACAGAGATCTGGGCAGACATGCAGGAGAGGCTGAGTGAGGCCACATGGGGAGACTGAAATCATCTCTGCTTGGTACCCAAGCTCCCGCTTAGAGCAAGTCAACTGAGTGTAGTTAGAGGAGGCGGCTAGTCGAGGAAGGGTGGAGGATGATGCAAGGGATCATGTGGACCCACCACTCTTCACAGGCCTCCCCCTTTCCAGGAGGCATTGTTTCTGAGGGAGGCCCTGTTCCCCTCAGGAGGCATCACTCGAGAGTTTGAAAGAGAAGCCGCCACAGCTCCAAGGAGGGATGGAACCAGCCAATGGTCTCCCCCTGGAAGTGTCAGAGCTAGGACTGAAAGCAGTTTGTCTGTCTGCAGAGCCCACTCATCATCTCCACCCTGGATGAGCACCCCCTTTCCTTTAGGGCACCCAGGCTGTGCTGCCGTGGGTGAGGAGCTATAGTGAGCGGGATGCTGTTAACAGTAAATGGCTTCTGCAAGCCAAGTACAAACGGCCACTCACAGAACCCTCAAAACCATCCTCATTTCCACTTTGCTGTTCAGAAGCCTGAAGCTCTGACCTGTGTGGGACATATCTAAAGGTTAAGAGACAGGAAGACCCCCCTAATGAGACGGAGCGAAACAGTGACTGACTGCAGCGATGGGCTCAAGTGTGTGGGAGATGGTGAGGATGGCTCAGGACAGGACAGGGTTCAGACCTGCTGTCCACAGGGTTGCTGAGTCATACTCGACTCAACGGTACCTCACAAGAGCAGCAGCGGCACAGAGGGCTCTACGCTGCACTGCTACCGGGCTAACAGCGACGGAAGGGCAGCCATGAACTAGAGCTGACCTGACTGAGCTTGGTTCCTAAGGGTAACTGAAGGGCAAGTTCAGAATCTAATTCACTTCATCTCTACACAGATACCTTAAATTCAGGAAGACAGCTTTCTCAATAGAGTTTTCAGATATTTAGACCCTGGGGAGGAGCTGCACTGCCCGCATAAAGGTAGACAGCTTGAACCCACTCACTGCTCCAAGGCAGGAAGCCTGGCAATCTTCTCCCAGTGACCCATCGCCTCTGAGAATATGCTGCAGGATCTGCTATGGCTCCGATTCCACAGCACAAAACAACAACCACATTGAACAAGGGAGCTCTCATGGCCTACTCCGAAAGGAGCTGTGGTGCTAACACATAGGTCGTGCCTCTCTGTAGGAGAAAAGATAAGCTGTCTCCTCCAGTACAATTTACAGCCTCCCCAAATGGTGAGCTCCTGGGCCTCACCACTGTCTCCTCCGGTACAATTTACAGCCTCCCCAAATGGTGAGCTCCTGG